AAAATATCAGCCGGGCATGGTAGCGCATGCCTGTAATTCCAGCTACTCAGAAGGCTGAGGCGGAAGGATCGCCGGAGCCCAGCAGGTCGAGGCTGCGGTGACCGAGAGCAGCCACTGCACTCCAGTCTGGGTGACAGAGTGAGACTCCAACTCAAAAAGAAAAAGAAAAAAGAAAAATGGGACTGTCTGGGTCCTGGAGAGGGAGTGGGGTTGTGAGGGGCCCAGACACCCGAGTTTCTCAGTGGGTGTTCCTAAAAATCTGTGTTGGCTCCGTGGTTTCCTGAGGCCAGAGGATGACCCATTCGGGATAGGGTCGGGCCCCCAGGGGGCGGTACTCACCATGACTCCTGTGCAGAGGCAGACTATCTTGCCCCACATGGTGCCCGGCACCACGTCCCCATAGCCGATGGTCAGGAATGTGATGGGGATCAGCCACAGCGTGTCTGAAAGGTCCCCGGTGGCATTCACAGCCTGCCTATGGGGAAGGGTGGGTGAGTTCTGAAACCTCACCCTGGAGATTTCCATGATGTTAGCTCTGCTCCCCTCTTCTCTCCCCACTCCCTTCTTCCCTCTCCACCACCTCCCCTCCCCTCCCAGAATATACTCATAGTCCCAAGAAACACCTGGACAAAAAAACCAACACATTCTGAGGAGAGCCCGCCTGGTCTCCTCTCTGCTGTGTGACCAGGGCAAGTTGCTCAGCCATGCTGGGTCAAGGGATTTGAACTGGAGTCTGGCCAAATTCCAAAGCCTGTATGGTTTCAGCTAGGCTGCCGGTGCTGCTACATTCAGAGCATGTGGTTGAGGGTCGAGAAGGGGCGGGTAGGGGGCTGCATCCACCCAGAGGATGGGGCATCTTTTTCTTCTTTTCTTTTTTTGAGTCGGAGTCTCACTTTGTTGCTCAGGCTGGAGTGCAGTGGCATGCGCACAGCCACCGCAGCCTCAACCTGCTGGGCTCAGGCGATCCTTCCACCTCAGCCTTCCAAGTAGCTGGAACTACAGGTGTGCACCACAATGCCCAGTTAATTTTTGATTTATTGTAGAGATGAGGTCTTGCCATGTTGCCCAGAATGGTCTCAAACCTGCGGGCTCAGGCAATCCTCTCACCTTGGCCTCCCAAAGTGCTGGGATTACAGGCATGAGCCACTGCACCCAGCCAGGGGTGCCTTTTTCTAATTTCCACAAAGACGCTGTATGGCCCAGAAGTGGCTCTTTTAGGACCAAAAAGTGAGACTCTAAACAGGCTTGATGGGACTCTGCCCTCCCTTCTGCTCACTTCACAGAAGGGGGCATTTAGGTTCAGCCGTGGAAGGGATTGAAAAATTGAGATTCGCCTAACTTTGTCCATTGACCCCCTGATCCAGATCCTCAGGGAAAGTGTCGCCCATGAGGGTCCCAGGCTCAGACCCACTAGACTGGAGTTTCTGGGGGCAGGAATGGAATCTGCACTGTTAACAAGCCCCACCCTCTTCATTCCCAAGTATATTTCAGTTTGAGGACTTCCGCCTTGGGGTTTTGAATTTCGACTCCCTCCCCACTGTCTGATTTTTCTGATGAGTGACATGATGGGAGATATTCATTAATCCCAATTCTGGCTGGGCGCAGTGGTTCATGCCTATAATCCCAGCCTTTGGGAGGCCAAGGTGGGAGGATTGCTTAAACCCAGGAGTTCGAGACCAGCCCGGGCAACATAGCGAGACCTCATCTCTAAAAATAAATAAATAAACAAATAAAGAAATAAATGAGCCGGGTGTGGTGATGCTCCCAGCTACTAGGGAGGCTAAGGTGGAAGGATGGCCTGGGCCCAGGAGGTCGAGGCGGCAGTGAACCATGATCGTGCCAATGCACTGCAGCCTGGGTGACAGAGTGAGACTCCAAATCAAAAAACAAAAACAAAAAAATCCAGATTCTGGTCGATTTTTCCAATTGAGAAAACTAAGATCCTGGTGCTTGAAGGAGTTTTGGATCACAACAGACTAGAATTGTCAGGGAGACTTTAAAGATGGTGGAATGTGACACTCATTTTACAGAGGAGAAAACTGAGACTCAGAGATGAGAGATCTAAGTCAGATATTCTCATTACCTACCTCCCCTCAAGAATCCTTTGCCAAATACACTAAACCAGAAGCTCTCAACCTTGAGTGGGGAGGGCCTGTTAAAACAGCTTGCTGGGCCCTACCCCCAGAGTTTTGGACTCAGTAGGTCTGGGTGGGGCCTGAGATTTTTCCTTTGCAACAAGTTCCCAGGTGGTGCTGCTGGTCCTGAAATCACACTTTGAGAACCACTGGCTGAGATGAGTACCCGTTTCTGTGATAGAAACATTGAGGCTCTGGAAGGATATAGGCCTCGCATCAGATTACAGGTTTGAGACCCTCCTGGGCAACATGCCAAGACCTCAGCAGTGGGAATTTGGTTCCCATTCCCTGCAGGGAATTCTTTTCCAGAGCTGCTCCAAATCACCTCTCTCCTAGGGTCACAGAAAGCACCCACAGGGCCTCTGGGCTGATTTGGAAAGACGTCTCCTTCCTCCAAGGCAGATGCAACCGTTAGCCAGGTCCCAGAGCCCCGGTTTGGAGACTGAACAGATGCCCGGAACCTGAGGCAGGAGAGTCCGGGGGCCAGGAGGGAAGGGCATCCCAGGGGGGG